CAAGTTTGTCTTGGCGGGCGCACAGACGCAGGGCGCCGTTGGCAAGAAGCTCTGCTGCTCCTCCGGGAAGCCTTGAGCCGTTTTAGGCCATGCCCTAAACCCTCAACCCTAAACCCTAAACCCTAAACCCTAAAAACCCTAAACCCTAAATGCTAAGCCCTAAAAACCCTGAACCTTAAATCCTACACCCTAAAAGCCCTAAACCCTAAACCCATGGGCTTCAATGGGATCTCGGGCTATGACCTACAACTTCGAGGGGTCCTGCGTTGCATCTCGGAGTTCGTGTGTCATCTTCACCCTGCGTGCCAAGAATCTGTGTGTGTGGGGTACTGTCTAGGTATGGTAGTTTCCCACAATAGGGGGACCCCAATATAGACCCCAATGTATCATAATCCTTATTATGGGGACCCCCTAAATGGTACCCCTAATTTTGGGAAACCTCCATGTCGCTATCTAGCGGCTGGCGTTTGATACTGCGCGCGGTTTGATGCAACGTCGCCACATTTCGGCAGGCCTGACATCACGCCTTACAATGCAGCCTGCTGCCAAGCACGATTCCAATTCCCCTGTGCGGGGCCTTCCATTCTGCAAAATTCAACTTAGGGCTTTGGGACACTATAGTCCCATACTAATGACAAAGCAGGAAGGAGAATGCAAAAATGAAATGGACACTACTGGTTATGTTGGGTTATATTGGTGTTATTCGGGGTTCTATAGGTATAATGCAAACATGAAATGGATACTGCTGCTCTCAGGTCATCAGCGCTTGCGCGGCAGAGGGCCGCTGGCAGGTGGCCGCTTCTTGGCTGACCTTTAGACTTTACTCCCTGGTGCTTAGGAGGGAATGGGGGAATGGATCCCTATAGTAGTCCCCATATAATCCCTAATCATAATCCCTATAATCCAGTCCCCCATTCCCTCCTAAGCACCAGGGAGTTTAGACTGCTCAGAAACTTAAACGAGAGCTTCGAAGCATTGGACATCCCTTCATGCCCCCAACAGAATTCACCTACTATCCTTGTTTTAGGAAACTCTTCCAAAAGGCGCAAAATTTTGGGAAATTGCTAGACCCTAAATCCAGCACAGTTTGCTAGCTTCCTGCTTCCCTTGCACTTAAGCTGGGTTGCTGTTAGGGAACTTAAATTCAGCCACTATAGCAGGGAAACCCCCTTATTTACTACACACCCATATTATGGTGACTTCATTTAAACTCTTTACCAGCCTTTGTACTTAAACTTAGTAGTGGCTAGTAGGGAATTGAGGGAGTATAATCCTTATGCAATCCCTTTATAATATATTCCCTTATTCCCTACTAAGCCCCGGTGAGTAAAGCGTGGGGCCCCGATAACCTCTCCGAGGTGCAGCTCTTCGCGGAAGCCGTTCACCTGTCAGTCGATGTTCCTTGCCTCACCACAGCACTTGCAGGGTCCGGGGGACTGAGTAGGTAGGTTAATAATGGGCATAAGTGGGGTTACTATATGGCTTGTAGGGGGTAATTATAAGTTTACTTACTAAGTCCCCCTGACCCTCCAAGCAGCTAACAGCTAACACTTAAGATTGGCGCTTTGGGATTTAGGGTTTAGGGTTTGGGTTCTTAACATGCTACATTGTAGCATACTGAGGTCATGCAGGATGTTTAGCATCAACAGAAATCTTCAGGTTTCTGGTTTAGATTTCAAGTTTAGGGCGTCCTGAGGCAGGCAGATTTGCCAAAATCCAGGTCCAACTCTTGAAGCCATGTACTCCTTTCATAGCAACTCTCAGCAAGGGAAGCCTGATTTCAAGAAACCCCTCAACCTAAAATATAGGTACTCCCGCAACATAACCACAACCAACCCCGTCTAAGGGAGCATACCTCTGAGAAGCCGTGTAAAGTGTCCCAGAACCTCCATGTGGCTTGCATGATTCGGCGAAAATCACATGTCATGTTTCTGGGGGCAAAGTGTGAGGGGCCACATTGAGGATACAGTGATACAGATGGTTGGTCTCTCAACTCGGCTTGTTTGGCAGGGAATATGTAGGGAAGGGTCTGGGGTTCACCTACTAGAGTCAAAAAAGCGCCCCTTCTCCGAAACCCAATAAGTCCTAAATCCTAAACCCTAAACTCTAGATCCTGAACTTCCTGAACCCTCCACCCTACAACCTAACCCCAAACTCTGTGTGATAAATTCCTTCAGGGAAGCTTACCTTTGGCTAGCTAGGACTGAAGGAATGGATCCTTGTAGTAGTCCCTATATAACCGATTATAGTAGCTTCAAATGTCTTTTCCACTCCTTCATTCCCAGCTAACCAAAGGTAAGTAATTCCTATACACCCAGTTTCCATTTCTTTTTCCATTTCATTTTCCATTGATCCTCCGTTACAGGGGGATAATACTTGCCCCACCTAACCAAAGGTACCCTAAACCCCAAACCCTAAACCCCAAACCCCAAACCCTAAACCCTAAACCCAAAACCCTAAATCCTAAGGCTCTCACGGGAAGCTCAGTCATTGCAGCTTGCGCTGAAGCCGGGAGCTTTGCAGTGACCAGATCCCTCCTCCGACTACTTGGGGTTTCGTAAAATTGGGGGTACCTCTTTTGGGGGTCCACCTAAGAAGGATTATGGTATATTGGGGTCTATATTGGGGTCCCCTGATTTTGGGAAACTACCACTTCTTCAAATGCTGTTGTTTTTGACCCCTCGCCCTGCTCCAACTGCAGATGCTACCCCTGCTACTGGCTACTACTATTATTATTATTACTACTACTACTACTATTACCACTACTACTACGACTACTACTATTACTACTACTACCACAGCCCCCCCTACCAACTATGTTCCCTGAAGTGTCAGGGTGGGCTGTCAAGAGCCGAAGAGAAAGAGGGCCGTGGTGGAACGTGCATCACGCACGCAGAATCATCAAACATGCGGGAACTGCTAATAGTTTTTGCATTTGCGCTCTTCGAATTGACGTCACTATGCCCGCCACCCCCCCATTCCGCCCCCCATCCTCCCCACAATACCCAACCCACCCCCCATCCTGCAACCCCCAGGCATTACGAACATACAAAGCATTTTGGCATTCCACGAAGCCAACATTTCGTCAGTTTTTACTTGGTTTCAACAAGCGCAATTTGGGAAACATAGTTGGTAGGGAGGGGGGGCGCCTACTACTAGTAGTACTAGTATAGTAGTACTAGTACTAGTACTAGTACTAGTACTACTGCTACTACTACTACTACTACTACTCCTTCTTCTACTTCTACTGCTGCTGCCACTACTGTGCATGCCATCTGATAGCAAGTCCCATTCCACGTGAATTCGGTCTGCAATGCTGGCTTCCTTTCATACAAGGGGTTAGTAGGGAATAAGCGATTATAATCCCTATATAACCCTACATTATAGACTCCCTATTCCCTAGTAACCCCCAGTAAGCTTCTGTGCTTGTGGATCAGGCCTTGGAGTGGGAGCCTGCTTTATGCCTGCTGGGCCAACTACAGCAGCAAAGCGTGCAGCAGCTTCCTCAGCCTTGTGTACTTGATGTTGAGTGACCCTTTCCCTTCCATCCACAGTAAGATATGGCACCATCCTGCAATGTAGCTGGGTGTGCGCAAGCAATCCCGTAGTTCAGAGTTTAGGATCTAGCATTGTCATAGAAATGTAGTAGCACAGGCCCTGAGGTCCTTTCCGCCATGCACTGCTAAGCTCCTGGGAACATGGCTTACTCTGAACATCATGGGGTGTTCAGGGATATCAGCTGCAGTTCGGCGCTTTTTGGTGCTGCTCAGGTTGAACATCAAAGTCTACAATGCTGCAGCCCTGCTCACAGCTTCCTAGTGCTTGAGGAGGAGTGCGGAAGTGGATCCCCAGAATGGTCCTTATAGAGTCGCAATACATCCAGAGTCGAATGCAACAGGCATTATGGAGCCGCTGAGTTGACATGATGATTTCTGGAAATTAGTGAGAAATTTTCTTCTTTGGGTGGATTGGGCTACTGTGGGGAGGGGGTTATGTGAAAAACCAACTGGTTATAGTTGCCAGTTTAGGTTTGCACCCCTAAGCCCTAAACGTTAAACCCTGAACCCCAAACGCTAAACCCTGAGTCCGACATCCTGAAGCCTAAAAACCTACACCCTAAGCCCTAAACCCGGCTGCAAGGAGGAAAAGAGGCGCCTTAAAAAACAAACCTAAACCCTAAAGCCTGAACACCTGAAATCCTAAACACTCAACCGCTAAACCCTAAACCCCTAAATCCTAAACCATTCCCCTTCTGCTCGCGCGCAACCTGAAGGTTGGCGCGCTTGGCGAAAAGCCGGCGGTCGCTCTGCAGGTGGTGGAGGCTTCCCTGTAAATAGTGAGCAATAAGAGTAATAATAGTAATAGTGGTAAGAATAGTAGTAATATTAGTAGTAATAGTAACACTGATAGTAATAGTAGTAGTAATAGCAAGGTCTCTTTAGGCATTATTTTCACCTTTCATATAGTATAGCCCGAAGGAATATTTTTCAAAATAGGGCTCCTGGGTTTAAGGGGACTACGGTACCGATTGAAGGTTCAATCAAACTGGTGGTTTCCGAAAATTAGGGGTAGCAGTTTGGGGGTCCGATAATACGGATTTTAGTATTTTGAGGGTCTATATTGAGGTCCCCTTTTTTAAGGGAGTTGACCATCTAACCCCTTGCCCCAACCAGTGCAAGATTAGGACTGTGAATCGTCACGGTCAATCTTGTTGGCAAGGATCTCAGCTGCTACCGTAGCTGTAGTCCACGATCTTAATGACAACGCAGCCGCTCGATTCAGACATGGAGCTAGAAGTACTCTAATTTGGACAGATTCCTGGGGTCCCTCACAACTCGACACAATCTGGCTTGAGGGTTTGTCCGCGAAGCACGTGTGCAAGGCATCGCACTCCACAAAGCGTCGCAAGCATCGCCCTAAGATGTGTTGCTTTATTCGCTTGTCGTACGCCCAGACTTGTGCTTCAGGCTCAACAAATCGTTTTTCGCTGGCTTGTTGCCATGCCGGAGATCAAGCTGAGGGCTGCGACCACAGGTGCTGAGATCGCCGTTCTCAGCGCAGAGCCGCTTGAGTTGGTAGCCCGACTCCGGCGGGCGGTTGTTGCGGCTGGCTATGGCGGGCCGCCCGAGCTGTTCTGCGGCCTGCGTTTGCTGCATGGGGAAAATGTGCTGCGCGACTGCGAGACGCTGGAGGCTTCGGGTCTCGCTGGCGGTGGGGCTGTGGACGTCGTGAGGCTGCCAGCCTTGGAGCTCTGGCGCGAGGGAAAGGTTACATGGAACACCATCGATGTGCCACTTGGCGGGCCACTGTGCATCGGCGTCTCTGTGCGGCCTGTGGGTCGCGATCGCATCCTCGCATTCCCAGCCCGACCTGCTTGGAGGCGTTACAGCGAAGAGCTTGGCGACTCTGCTTCCCGTGATTTTCTCGGCAAGTATGAGATCATGCATCATGAGCATACGGACCTTTGGCTGATTGGCGCGAATGAGCCCTTCGCGCTGGAGGGGTCCGTGGCCGCAGGCAGTGGCTACGTCAGCGCAAGGCAGATTCCTCTACCACTTCCGGACCCGAGTCAGGGAATCCACGCCTTCGACTTCCAGGATGCTTGGGTGGGGCGTTCTCCGAATGTTTGATATCTCGATCTTGCCCCAATCCGAGTTCCTTCCTCTAATGCATGTGCTTTGTTCCATAGCCCATTCCACACCGGCTCCGGACCACAAACGCAAACGCTAGTGAAAGAAAATTCAGATAAAACAAAGGAGTCCCCAAGACCCAACGTCTCATGGTTGCGTAGGCAGCAAAAACGCTCAACTCACCAGTCAACACCATGCTAGAATCTGCAGTCCCTTGTAGTGACCTTACCGGGCATTGCCAGCGCTTCGTAAACACATGTCTGGTGAGGATGGTCTTGCCACTGTTCTCTTGGCTCCGGGATGCTCGGGCGATCCTATGAAGGATTGACTTTTCGAGCCTTGAGTAAAACACCCTGAACTAAACACTTGTTACGCAGGGCCTTGAATGGGGCTCAAGCCATGATCTGTACGGACTTGGAGGAGCTGCAGAAGGGTGTGATTCAGAAATTTCGTCTTTGCGGCATCGAAGAAGACGATCTGCGCAGCGTCAAGTTCGAGCTCGCGGGTGAGCCCACTCCATTCAGGTTCTTCTCGAAATGACCGGGTTGCTGTTAAGGGATTAAAATGAACAACAGGGCTTCCTTGTTATAGTAATCTAAGTTCCTTAACAGGAAGCCAGATGAGGGTCTGCTTGCACGAGGCTCTGCCTCAGAAAGAGGCCCACAAGATTGAGAGAATGCGTGGGTGTCTGTCAAAAGTAGCAGCACCATACTTTCCCCGGCATAATCGTAGACACCGATTCGCGACTTTCGGAAAACTCCCATATTGTCCCTTTCAGGTTCAAGTTTCCTGATGCCTCTGCGGATCATGACCCCAGGCAACCCACAGCGTACGAGCCGGTTGCTGAGTTAAGGATTCAGAGAAGACAGTCTTTTGCGTTGAGGATTGGGGCTGCTGCCATGTAGGCATGGATCCTTGTTGGGATGATGTTTTTTTTTTCAGGGTTTATGGTTTAGAGTTTAGGGTAGGTTCGTCCTCAAACATGAGGACTTTCTCTGAGACAAAGATCAACCCAGGTTATAAGAAGGTTCGATTGGCAGGAAGGCGACCAATCTGATGGCCGTGATTGGGCTGCTGTTAATGAACTTAAATTAAGATACTCTAATAGGATTCGGTTACTACTTCATGGAAATCCTATTATTTGCTATATCGCCATATTCTGGTAACTTAACTTAGGTTCCTCAACAGTGACCCAGGTGAAGGCAAGAAGCCAGACATGATCCAATGGTGCCTGGTCCCTGCTTGCAAATGCTGTCAAGCACCTTTTAGTTGCAAGCCAAAAGCCAATAATCATATCAACGTTTGCTGTTACCACGCTTGTAGGAAAAATCAGAGACATATTAGAGACCCTATATGACCCTAGAGCCTTAAGGGGTCTAAATCAAGAAGCCCTAAACATTCATCGCTCAGTGTGTTGGGTGCAATCGGGGATCCACAGGGCCGTTTGAGGATTCCGGGTGCCGTTCACACCAGCCTCCAAAAACGCCGAATCCTTGCTGGTGCGAGTAAATCTCCTACAGGTGCCACGATGCGGAACGGATCACATTGCAGTCAAACTCCTTGCGCTGCTACACCTTGGGTCGGGATCGTTGTGGCCAAGTGGTGGCGACGCGCGGGCGGAACAACCAGGATCCGGAGGACGACATGTTCTATGAAATTTGCGAGTTGAAGGAAGACGGCGGTGAGCTGAAGAAACTTGCTACTGGCAAGGCCAGTGGGGTCTAGGATGTAATCGGTTGGTTCCAGTACTCCTTGTCTGCGTTCGTGCTCGGGCGTGTTCGTGTAGGCCCGAAAACTGGCAAATTTTAAGAACACGCATCCCCTGGCAGAAACGAATTATACTCGAGTCATGAACAATAAGGGCAAGAAAGCCAGTAATTAATGGTTCAGATACCGTGGACGACAACAACATCAGTGACACTCACAACAACAACAGCAACAAGAACAGCAACAGTGACACTCACTACAACAACAACCGCACAAAAAAGAACAATAACAGGAACCCGACAACAAGAGCAGCAGCAACAACAGCATCGGCAGCAACAAAACAACAACAGCAACAGCAACAGCAACAGCAACGACAGCAGCGGCGGCAGTAGCAGCAGCAACAGCAGCGGCAGCAGCAGCAGCAGCAGCAGCAGCAGCAGCAGCAGCAGCAGCAGCAGCAGCAACAAAAACAGCAAAAGCAAGCATCAGCAACAGCAACAGCAACAACAATGATGAGAACGCCAATAAAACACTAATGAATATCATAATCACAACAGCACCACCAACAATAACAGTGACAGCAACATCAACAGCCATGGCAGTAATATAAGCAGTAGCAATGACAACAATAATAATTACAGCAATAATCACAGCAATCATAATGCTAACAATGGTCGCAGCAAGAGCAGCAACAACAGCAACAAGCAGTGAAAGGACCGGTAACACTAATCACAAAAAAAGCCAAGCAATAGTAACAAATACTACCAACAATAGTAGTAACAATCATTATAAGTGTAACTCGAAACCCTAAACCGGTAGATTGCCTTTGGAGGTCCAAGGCCACATGAACAGCCATTGCCAAGCCCTTGGGGATCGGCTCATGTTGTTCGCTGGCCCTCATGCCGGCGAGGATGCGTTTTACGAGAAGATGCGGCTGATGGAATGGCCGACAGGAGAAGTAATTCGAGAGATCCCCCTCGCCATTGCGCCGAGATACATTGAGGTGGAGTGGGAGCGGGGCATCTTGTGTGGAAGCACGCAGACCTTCTTCACCTGCTGGACAGAGGAGTGCCAGAGTACGACATTTGCCTTTGCGACTCCGGAGATTTGAGGGCATGCGTCAAGCCTTTTGCTCTCATTTCTCCCCGCTTTGGGCCGTGGGAGAAGGTCGAATGCCCTGCCCCAGACCCAGCGACCATTTCGCAACATCGAAGACAGATCACAACTTTGGCAGGTCTGGACCCCTCCCTGTGTTCCTGCAGTCCTGCCTTTAGTTGTATTTCCAGGCTTAGAATAGCCACATCAGCAACCTCTTCAGGCTGTTCCTCTGGACCTTTACATTTGGTCCAGACTCTCCCTTACACCCCTTAGCTATAAAGCACTGTGCAGGGCATTCAATTCCACCTCGTCATCTAAAGTATCTTCTCTGGGTACCCCCTGAACCTCATGACATGAATGTGCGCAACATGTTGACATTCATTTGCGTCTAAAAGAGAGGGGGGGGTGACGCAACATCATCTTGCCAGGGGCTGAAGAAGGCGCATCTGAAGCCGGACATTCTCACGTGCTGCTGCCTGGATTCTTGCTTTGCTTCCAGCTGGTAGCCGGCCAAATCCCAAAAGCGCAAACTCAAAATGTACAAGGAACGCTAGTCACAGAAACCGAAATTCGTAGTAGAAGACTGCCAGGTACACGCCTGCAGCAGAAGCGATCGCCACAGGAGGCTGCCATGTGCTCAGTTGTCCTCAAAGATCCGCAGGGCCATAGGATCCATGATCGTAATTATTATGGCGTGTGACGTTGCTATTGTCGTCTCACAGGGCTGCATCCCGGCTTGACTCGGGCTTGATTCCAGTAGTAGGTCCTAAGTCCTGACCTGAAACGCGCGAGATCTGGCACGGTAGACGCGGCATTCGCGGCCAGGGCAGTCTGGGCCCTTTGTCTTGGAGATGGCGCCCCAGCCATCATACCCTACTTAGGAGGTGCATCCCTACTTAGGAGGTGCATTTTGTAATTGACATGCGGATCCTATGCCATGACACTCAAGTCGCATCAGACGGTAGAAATTAAATACGACACCGGCACACAACACAGACAGTATCATGTTACTATCATAAGGAAACCCCATTGTGTACAATATGTTCGCAACTTAGATTAAATTCCTCAACAGCGACCCAGTACTTGTGACAGAGTCAATGATCTAGAGTTGCCGCCTGCTCACCGAGTTCCAGCCCTGGAAAAGCAAGCTCAATTTGCAGAGGCCGGATGGGGGAGGCTTGAGATTGAGATGAGATTCCAAGGAAATTCGCTAGATCTTGAATTTGGCGCATGGGGAGAGTGGGGGGGGGGGCTATGCTGGGGGGGAGGCCTTGAGATTGAGATGAGATTCCAGCGCAAATTCGCTCAAATCTTTATTCGCGCAACTCAGCCCGACTCAGGGATTGGTTATATGTTACTCCAAATGGATTGTGACGCAAATAGTATCAGTCTATTCCCAAAAATGCACTTGATAAATTAGAGCATGATGGCACAAGGGATAAGGCGCTGGACTTTTAATCCATCAGGTCGCATTTCAACGCCGAGGTGTCTCATTTTCAGGTGTGGCTTTTAATCGTGCTTTCTATCCCTAAAGTGGCGCCGTGCTGAATTGGACGAATTTGACGCAAACAAATTCACCGGAATCTGGAAGGCTGAGGGCCCACCGCTGAATGCCTGCTTGCAAAGCCCAAATCCAGAATATTTCGAGGTCATTAGAGGTCCTTAGGATGCTGCTCAATTTTGGCTGGTAGCTATTGCCATCCACAAATAACTTATTGGTGGAGAAAGCCCGAGTCCTCGCAATGCTGGGAGTCTCTTTTCGTAGCCCAAATCCAGTCCCTCGCCCCTAGCTTGACGAGGCAACGGAACTTAAGGACATGAACGCACGAGGTAAAACATGAAATTAATGAGATTTAAGTGACGAGGTCAGTGGCTTGAAAATAATGATATTGTTCTAATGTGTACAGGTAATATGAGTTGTAATCTAAACTCCTTAGAGGGGGGTTATATAATATAGGGGATTCTATAGGAGAGTATTACAGGGCTTGTTAAGGGGGATACTCGAAGTTTAGACTACAGCTCATATGGTAGTTTCCCAGAATGAGGGGATATAAAGGGACCCCAATGATAGACCTCAAAATATTTGAAAAGTACTCTAATTCTGTTTCTGCGGAGCCTTAAAAGGTTCCCCCTATTATTTTGGGAAACTCTTGCATCTGGCAGCAGGTCATAGCTTGCAGCTGTAGCTTACCTTTGGCTAGCTAGGAGTGAAAGAATAGATCCTTATAGTTGTTGCTGTAAGAGCCCATTATAATAACTTTCCATTTTCTTTTCCATTCCTTCATTTCCATCTACCCAAAGGTAAGTAATTCCCCTATATACCCCCAGTTTCCATTTCATTTCCATGTGATTTTCCATTTGCTTCTCCATTATTGGGGTATATGTAACCCCCCTTACAACCCCTATAAGCCATATAGTAACCCCAATTATCCCCATTATTAACCTACTTACTAAGTCCCCCGACCCTCCAAGTAGTGGCAGGTCGTGGCCTTGCTGGTCAAGGCTATTCAGATGACATTGTGCCACCTGGCCTTGTCAAGCCGATTGAGAAGGTCGTGGTCATGCGAGCCATTATCTAAACTTCTTCAAGGGGGCTTTTGTATAAGGGGGTATATAGGGGACTACTTTTGGGATACTAAGGGATACTAGGAGTTTGGACTATAGCTCGTGTTGCGTTGGATGAATTGAGTGCCCAGATTTCTGCGCAGCAACAGCCCAGCAACCAACAAGGCGAGAGCAACAACCATCAATATGCCGCGGACCCATCCTCCTTGCTGAGTGATGCAGCGGCCCAATCGATACGTTTGATGCCTCCAAGGCTCCCACGGTTCTTGCACTGGATCTGCTGACAGATTCAGGTTGCTTTCAGGTGTGGTAAGAAGCATACTTTAGGTGGACCCCCCACCCAGTAATAGTGACTATAATGGATAATAGGGATTATATTAGGGTCCGCTTATATTCTTATTATACCACTATTACAGGGCGGGGGGTCCTCCTAAAGCATACTGCTGTTAGAAATATGCCCTCCAGAATGCTAGCAGGCCTGCCACAGCGTGCTCAAGGCATTGGGTAGAGTGCACGGTTGTCTTACCCAAAAAGCCCAATATCCCTTACTTAGGGAATGTACCTTAAATCATTATTAGGGATCCTGATATCATGTAGGGTATGTTCCCCAATTGAGGGATCTTGGGCTTTCTAGGTGTACGACGTAGATTTCCTTGCAGGCGCGGGCATGTCGCGCGATACTCGGGCCGGCGAGGCAGCAAACTCTCACAGCTTCGTTTTTCTGCACATGCGAGGTTGTGAAACTGTGGTCATTTTCTGGGTTCCTTATATATCACAGCCCCTAATATTCAAGGAACCCCACGAATGGGACCATAGTTTGGACAGCTCCCCACCTGTAACCGTAAAATATCCCTAAATAGTAGTCTCGTTTTAATTCTTCATTGTATTTTCCATTGATTCTCCATTATTGGTGTATATAACCCCTAAACCCTAACCCCCAAGCCCTAACCCCTAAACCCTAAACCGTCCGAGGGGTTGAAAAAAAACAAAAATCCTAAACCCTAACCACTAAACCCTGAGCCCTAACTAGGCTTCCGGATTTGTCAGGCCCAGCCTACACAGATTGATGGATGCGTCTGGCCTCCGGCGCAGTGCCGGTCTAAGCGCAGCGTTCTTCGGTGTCTGATCTAGGGTTTAGGGGTTTAGGGGTTTAGGGGTTTAGGGTTTAGGGGTTATGTGATCCAACCATGGAGAATGAAATGGAAAGAAAAATGGAAAATAACATGGAAAGTGGGGTATATACGGGAACTACTACCTTTGGTTAGCTGGGAATGAAGGAATGGAAAAGAACATGGAACCCACTATAATCTGTTATCTAGGGACGACTATAAGGATCCATGCCTTCATTCCTAGCTAACCAAAGATAATCCTCTCAAAAAGCTGCACATCCAACAGGAATGTTTAGGATACGAACCTTTCACCAGGATCCCTATACCCTACTTAGTCTACGTAAAAGGGTGTGTTCGTATATTATCTCTCGCTGCTGCCCTCAAGAAGGCCTCTATGTTCCTGCAGCATTCATGCTTTGAGAAAGTCCTAAGCCTTCTGATCACGAAGCCGCCTTACGGGCATGCAAAGATCATGCAGGTCGGGATAACGCGGCGCTGAGGGCGGAAGCCTCAGATGGAGAGGGCTTCATGGGGTTTAGTACATGCGGGAGTTTCTCAAGCTTTCTCAATAAAAGCCTGCGCAACCCTCAAACCTCATTGCTTCGGGTTTAGATTCCCTTCCAAAGACTAGGCCCTGCCTACTTCCGCTGCGTGCAATCACTCGTTGTATTCTACAGAAAACTTCTGACCTAGTTTGCACACCCTTCTGCTGGATGCTGGCTTTGCTGTAAGACCGGTAGTTGACTATGACGGAATTGGGGAAGGGGTGGTAGGATATGCCCTGACAAGCTGCAGGACGCATGCCAGCCTTCCATGCGTGACCATGATATCGACAACAGGGCTGGCCTACGATAATATTATGTAACATACTACAATACACTCCTACAATATATTCCGACAATATACTACTATAATATACTGCTATAATATACTACTAGAATATACGACTATCATGTACTACTACAATATACTATCTAACATACTACTATAACATGCTATCATCATCTGAGGATCCCATCCTGGAAAGGCATTTCAGCTTGGGAAACATGCTGACCAGTGAGGCCGGCTGGCCATGCTCCAGAGCATTTCTTGCAAGTGAGTAGCATTGTGTTTGGGGATACTATGGTACTGTACCCGTGCTCGACGCTCGACTCTCATGACCGACTGATGTCTATGAATAATACTACGGTACCCAATATCGAGAAAGATCATCTCCTTGTTTTGGGGTAGAGGAATATATACAAGAAATATAATCTTACTTGGCTTAACCACCAAAAACTAGTCAAGTGGTTTTAGGAATGGGGTTTAGGGTTTAGGGTGTTTAGTGTTAAGTGTATGGAGCCCTATGAGTAGGGAGTTAGGGAGTAGTTTCCATACAGTCCGCAGTATTCATCCTTGGATTCCATTGCATACCCTACTCTCCACGACTAAGATTTGGTTTCTAATCCTCCTGAGTTTTGTAGGCAAAGCCGGGAGGATGTAGGCAACATGTATCAAGCAACATGGCACGGTACGGCTTTCCGATTTATGTTGTTTTCTTTGCGTCGACTCCGCGCTTCAGGTACCAGGGAGAGTTCAGTGTTTGGGTTTGGAGTTCGGCTTCTGAACTTCTTTCAGGGGGTTACAATGTCATCAAAGAGAACTTTGATGCGACTGCTGCAAGATGGAGTGCCCAGTTCGCTGAATTACAAGCCAAGCTCCGAAAACTTTCAAACCACTGGATCCTGAAGAGTTTCCAATAAAGGGGAAAAGAACATGGACACTGCTACAATATATTAGGGTGTACATTCTATCCATGAAGTCTGGATGGTGGGGAATCCAATTCAGGGTTTAGGGTTGAGGGTTGAGGGTTAGGGTTGAAGGTTTAGGGTTTAGGGTTTAGGGAGAGGGTTGGGGCTTGGCCTTTTGGTTGATGATTTCGGGTGAATTGCTCCAAAACATCATGAGAAGAGAGCTTGTGGCACCAGCCTGCTTATGCATGATCAGTAATAGCACTATTATTCTTATTCGTATTCTTCGTCTTATTATTGCTATTTGTATCAGCATGGTTACTGGGACTGCTACTTTCAACTACTGTTCTGGTTATATTGATTATTGTCGTTATTACCAGTATTACTGTTCTTATTTACTATCTTTTGCTTATTTGTTAGTATTGTTGTTGTTATTATCATCATTACTACTATGATTATTACGCGCCACTATCTAATCATTGTCATAACTGTCATCATTACCTTACAGTTACTATTTTCTTATACTATCGCTGCCCAGCCATCCAGGTCATCCAGTCGTGCTTTGAGGGAGGCAGCTCTGGTGCACAGCTTCTCAAGAGCAAAATTGCTGACAGGGCATGTTCCAGGGGGTACTTAGGGCTTGGGGTTTACGGAAGGGTTGCTGCTACATCTCATTCTTGGTATTTGCGGTTCTTGCTGGTTGGAATTACTGCTCGTATGATTGCTCCGCAGGTTCCAGTTGGAGGACTACGGCATCCCAGCAGGCTGACCTGAAACAGTACGTTTCAGGGGCTACAAGTTTTCTCTAATGTTAAAGTTTTTTTTTTTTAGGTGTCTTTTTTTGAGCAAGAGGTCCATGTTTGGAGTACATATTGCAATGAGGATCCAATGTTGGGCGGTCTAGAACTACCCTGGCTTTGTCTTGCAGGTGACGGTTTGGGTCTTGGGGGATGGTAATGCAGCCCTAGACCCCTAAACCGCCCCTCTCATCTAAGGTTGAAACCATGGGCCCCTAGTATGGGCCCCTAACCCTGGGATCCTTACTAGACCCTCCATGTAGCCTTTGAACATGGCAAAGCAGTGAAGGCGCGTGCTGCTCTGTACCTGTGCGAGGACGAGGAGGCCGCCTGCACTGGATCCTCATGGGTTCAGGGTTTAGGGGCTTAGGGGTGTTGGATTTTTGTGGCTCATGCGTGACTTATGTGATCCTAAATCTGATTTATGTTCTTCGCCCGTATCTGCCTTTACTAGCATGAAGGGATGGCTGATTGGAAAGTTGTTCATGCCAAAATCATAGCCCTTTGCTCAGGCAACCCAAGAATTGCTCTTCATTTGAAATTAGGTTTTGTTCCTTTTGGTAAGAAGTTTGCTCCAATTTGTGCCATTTCTTGAGCCTTGATATAGATCCCCAAAAACTATAATCCTCATGATGAGGATGATGACCACCAAGAGGGACGCCCAATTCCAAGAACCCTGCTCACATCTCAGGACTCACAGTGGCTTGGGCATGCCAAGTGGCACGAGATTCCTCCATCCAAATCCCACGGACCCTGGACCCCAAATCCCTTCTATGTGTAAACGCCCTTACAGAACATTCATGACCCCTGAAACCGTACTGTCCTCAGGAATTGTTTTCAATTTTCATTATTATAGTAAAGCCCTAAGCAATTCTTCGCAATATTATGTTTATTGAGTTTATTGTAGGTCTAAGGAAACTGCAGTCAAAATGGGCCTTGTTGTGTTACTTAACCGTGAGGTGTCTTTCAGTGGCAGTGTCGTTTCCCGCGGCATCACAGCCTGGCCATCAGCTCAGCTTGGCAAAGAAAACCAAAACTTAAAGCCCCTGAAGCCCTGAAGGCATATGGAAACATCCCCTAAACCCTAAACTCAATGCTAACATCTAAGGAGTAAGCGTCGGACAAGCCTGTGGGATGAGAGTGTCATGATAATTCAGGTTTAAACTGCAGTGATCGTTATGGTAATACATGCTGCTATACCTCCATTCCTGCAAGCAGCAGGGGGTACGCGGCTTTCCATGCTAGCGGACATAGTGCAGGTCCAGTTGTTGCCTGAGAAGCTTGCCAGCTGGGCCCCCAGAAAGAAATCTTGCAGCAATGTGTGGTCAATTGAGGGTTGCATCTTTGCTTTCCATTCTTGCAATCCTTGTCTTTTCTCCCAATAAAGATTATTTGGCATCATGAAGCGTGTTAGTGCCAGTAGGGCTGTCACTCTGTTTGGGCCCACTGCGCCTGGTACGTATTTCTTTGAAAGCCTGCGCCGGCTTTGGCGGTGCCATGACTGTCCCTGCTTGATTGTGAGGACTGATATATGTCAGTATGTACACTTTCAGCATAAAGCCGGATCCGAGTCAAAAGCGTGCCATCATGTGAGATAAGTCCGCATGAGAGGATGAGAAATAATATTCGCTTGAAGGAAGTGATGGCTTTTTGTTTGGGTCCCTTGCCGGGTATAGGAGCGTACGGCTCCATTGACCCGCTGTTGTGGGTAAGGGTATTTCCGAACACATGTTCGGACACCAGGGACCATCCATGTAAAATTAGCAGCTCTCTGTCGTAACTTGCTTTCTTGCATTGATAGGTGCAGCTACTTTTGCTGGAGCAAGAGCATGCGCTTGGAGAAATAAAAAAGATTCGTAACAGGGACATGCATTGACACGCTCCCCACGGTAGTGTCACCCTTTGCACATACGTAGGCCACTTCACTCAAACTGTCAGGGACATTTGCGCGCGGCTTCAACCCCAGGTCAGACTTCTGTCCCCCTTCGGAATACTGGGCGTGATAATGCAACGGGTGCTGAGAAGAGTCCATGCGATAATATAGTTTACATTTCATTTTCCATTTGATTTTCCATTTGATTCTCCATTACCCCATTATTTACGCATTGTCAAGCATCAGCTTAATCCGGAAGGCCAGAGCCTTCACTCTCCGGAGTCGCCTCTGTGCTTTCGGCCAAGCAGACTCCGATTTCAGGCTCACAGCGATATGGGTTTTGTTGCTGAACAGTGCCATGACCACAGCTTACGGAAGGACATCTCCGCTCTTAAAGGGCTTAGTCTTCTTCTAGTTTGAGACTGTGAGGACCGCGGCAGTTGAATTAAATGGCTTTGTCAGGCGCCTGGCACCCATTCTGGTCGAGCACGATCGGTCGCAGCATGCTGAAAGACAGGCTCTCGCCGCTGACTTTCAATTCGCCATCAGCTATCTGCCTGACATTCTGGCTTGCATCGTTTCATACATGAAAAGATCTCAAGATTGGAGAGACCATAAACCCCCAGGAATGAGAAGCGCACGGCGAAAACGACGAATAATTGGCCCAGAACCTTGGGAAGCCCTCAAAACCCAAACCCATGGCCTCAAAACATGCTGAGAGGCCTTGCTGTTGCTGTTGGACGAGGCTTGCGGTATGCAAGGGCAACAAGTTTATTCCAACAGATTGTATTGGTTTAGGGTTGGGAGTTGGACTGGGTTCCCTGTGTCCGAAGTCAAGGGGCTACATGAGCTATAATCTAAACTCCTAATATCCCCCTTACTAACCCCTATAGTAGTCCCCTATAGAATCCCCTATAAGGAGTTTAGACTCTGGCTCACATGAAAACACCGGAGATGGAAGTTTACTTCCCGGTGGCGAGCTGGCATTTTCTTTTGCTCTCCCACGTCCCTAGCAACAACTGAGCTATAGTCTAAACT